ATACCACTGTAAAATAACTATTAATATAATTACCATAGTAAAAAATAAAATCACAATACTAGTAAAAATGTAAACATTTTAAGCTAATGTCTTTAAAAATCACAAAAGGTACCATCTACCATTCCAAGACCAAGTGAACAGCTGAAGACATTAAGTATAATATAAAAAGTTACTAAATTAAGTCTTTGTTCAGTCAATATTTCAAAAGTTGTTCACATTCTGTGAAATTTATATTCAAGTTTGGACTAGCAATTGCTTTCAAGCTATACTTCCTAAAAGAGTTCAGGTAGACTATTGTCTCCGCCCAACTTCAAGATGGCAATCCCACTAGTTAATTCTGCTTTTAAGCAGTAATTAATTCATTCTAGCAGCAAACAAGCAGGTACAATTTTCAGAGCAGGCCTGACACATTCCTTGGAAAAGTACCTAATCCCATGTGTAGTTCAGCAGTAGCAGATGCCACCAATGTCTTCACCGTGCTACACCGGGTAGTCCGAGCCATTCATTGTGGGTGCAGTGTCTCTGAACAAATACTGTTTTTCCATGGGCCCCGCTGCCAGACAGCAGCACACCCACCTGCCTGCACAAACGTCAACACGGGGCAGGGGGACGCTAGGGCTGGGAGCAGTCCCAGGCCTCCTGCTGCCTTCCAAGCCTCGTCCCAGCAGGAGGCTGGCTAATGTCACCTGTGCCTTTGTGGAATATTTCCTATTTCAGCATTGTTTATAGATGCTAATCAAATGACTTTTGGGTTTTGATCACTGATATTTTGAGTTATGCAATTGAAGCACCCTCATGATTGAATGCAACTGATAAGATGGCTTGATGGATACGTTCTCTTTTAGTGCCCAGGAGCAGCAGTTAAACAGTTTCCACCACATCCCGTAATGAATAGGCTACCTTCTACCTCTCTGCCTCTAGACTCCCTCTCATTTCCACTTTGAAGGACAAAAGCAAACAGCTCCCCAGCACCATGCCCTGCCAACAGACAGGCTTCACCTTGGGCCACATCCTTAAAATCGCACAGCCTGGGAAGTGAATCAGTGCAAAGTCTAAAACGTCACTGTAGCACACTGCGATATAGCTGCCTTCCTCCTATCAGAGTGCCTGGGTACCAGCAATTTATTGGTCTTAATTCCCAGTTTGAATATTCATCCTCATTACAGTCAGGAAAATGTGAGAAAAAAAACAAAGGAAGAGTTCTAATTTCTGAACAAGCCTGTGCAATGATAAGGGACCAGTATCAATAATAAAGTTTTACAATTTCTCACTATATGAAAAAGCCAAAAAAAAAAAACCCCAATTTTCCTTACAGATATATCTTCTAATCATACTCCTAAAATTGTGCTCTGTTTTTATTACTAATACTTATGTTCTCTTGTGTAGACAAAAGCTGAGTACAAATGTATTTCCTATGACAGACTTTACTGTATAGCCGAGATCAACGTTTGCTGGTAGCCTGCAGTTTACATCAGTTAAACCAACTTGCTTAACAGAAGATGTGAAGGAAATAATAAATGGCAAAAGGGGAAAAAAAAAAAAAAAGACTAAGTCAGTTTAAAACCTGAAGTCAACTGATGCTTCATAATAGGGATTATGTAATAGTTGTCTGAAATAACAGAAACTACATTCGGTAGCAGAAGCCTTTCCAGCTGTAGGAGCCTAAATGTGCAATTAGTTAAACAAGTCTCAACACTCCCATGATGTTTCACAGGACCGCAAGAACAACACTATTCTTCTGAAGCAGGATGATCAGGGTAATTAATGGACTAGTTTCCTTAGTGGTGATCCAGGCAATATAGTGAACTGGCTCACCTGAGTCCACTTTAAGAATAGATATAAAATGTCAATCGACACAGCTTCATGGAGAATAGGTCTTGAACAACAGGTTGCATTTTACTCTTTGATATAGTAAGCTCAGCTTGCAAAGACATCGGCACTGAGGTGTTACCTGTAAGAACCCTAAGTCACCTACTGAAAACCAGATGAACCTGTCATTTTCTTTAAACTATTTGTACTAGATCAAATCAATATAGAATATTATGTTGAAGACAGAAAACTAATTTCAAAATGCAGTATGAATAGGGTATCAGCAAGAAGTATAGTTGTTCTCCATCTTACTCAATTTTTTAAAGGGTCTGGGAAAAAAGGGACACGAACTCAATGGCCTGTCTGTTTGCTTTTCCCCACCCCCCTACCCATGTCACTGATGTAATAACAACTTATCACCTCTCTCTACAAACCTTGCCTTGCATTCAATTTTAAAAATCAATGATCCGGAAGAAACTGTAAAAATCACTTGCAATAAATTTGCAAAGGACATGCAGACTGCTGGAGTAGTAAAGAATGAGGACAGGTCACTTATACAGAGCAATCTGGATCACTTCATGAGCAGTATTTTAATGCTGGTAAAATACAGTGTATATTTCTAAGAAAAAATAAGGTAGGATAATAAGAGGATGATGTACCGCATTCTTGAAAAGGACTCTGAAGAGGACTTGAGCCATAAAAATCAGCATCCAAGGGAATGCTTCCACAAAAAGAGGATAATACCATTTTTGAGGAAAGAAGAGAGGGAGATATTAATCAGAGTAAGAGGTTCACATTACGTCTCTATATAGGCCTGATGGATCGCTGTTGACATGTGGCATCTAATTCAGATATCACACTCAAAAAATATTTCAACACATGAGAAGTACAGAGAAGAACGTGAAGATTAATTGTTCTTGGATAACATTCACTGCCATAAGAAAGTTAAGGAATTCAGCACATCTCATCAGAGAAAAGGTTAAAAGGGACATAATCATGATTTATAACAACACACAAGCAATTAGAAAAGCTGATACTACAGAGATCAATATAAGCAATCAAATGCATAAAAAGACCAAAATAACTTAAGGTGGAGCTAGAAATGCAAATAGAAAATCAAGTGAAAAATGTACCTGAGGAAATTAAGTATTGCAACAGGAGGTATGAGTGAATTCTCATCACTTGAAGACTTTAAATTAATATTAAATGCCTTCCTAAAATATGTACGTTCAGTTCAAAACAAAGCCACTGAATTTAATAGAGAAACTGCTTGTTGAAATTCAATGGCCTGTTGAATTTAAAAATAAATCCTCATTATGGTGCCTTCTTGCCTTATATATTTATGAGATTTATTTAGAAATATAACAACTAAATGGAAGGGGGTTACCAAGAAAAAGGTATTCTTTCTTTCCAGAGCACAGTAACATTTAAGGCTAGATTTAAAGCTAAATAAACTGCAGCTGCCTTTTGGAAAATATGCTCTTTTTTTTCCCCATTTACTTTTCCTATTTCTTGTTCAGAGTTGCACAGTCCACTTAGTCAACTGTGTCTGATTTACATAATCATGTAGTTATTCTTCAGTTTTCCTGTTCCTATTTATAAACCATTCACAAACCACCCACTTAAGTAACAGCATGATTTATTGTAAGAATGATTATGGTTGTTTCAGAGGGAAAATGGAATGTGATTAAATGAAGAATGAACAAGGACATTCTAGAAACAAAGGGCTCTAATCCTGCGGAAGGATTTGTAAATGAAACCTGTCTCTCAAGCCCCATCCCAAATAGCCAATGAACTACTGAGGGAATTCAGCAGATACCTTTACAGCTGTGCAGCCAAGAGCTTAGCAGAAGACAAAAAGTAGATAAAACAAACAAACCAACCATGCACACAATATCTTCTGGAGGAATGGTAAAGCTCCCAAAGCCATCCACATTTTAGAAAAAAAAATAAAAATTAATGAACTGTATGTATACTGTTGCTGATACGACTCTCAACACAAGTCTGAATATTAAGGCCCTAGAGGGAGATCTGCAAGCAGAACTTTGCTCTTGAATAAGTTCCAGCATCTGAAATAAATGCATCAACCAAGGAAAGGGTTGGATATTTAAGCTATAGATCCAGGAGAACAGAATCTTTTCCATATGCAATAGGTGTTTTGCAGGTACCACAGGAACCCTAATAACCCTGGCTTCTTACAAAAATGGTGAACACTCTGATGGAAGAACATCAAAGTTCAATATTTTCACCTGAAGTATTTACTCTCTGCTATTTCAGAAAGAATGAGTGGTGAAAAAACCCTATTTGTTTATCAGTAACACAGCCATGCTTACAGACCAGCTACCTACCAGGAATAGCTGAGAGGCTCCACAAAGGAGAAGCTACACTACAGAGCCCCATTCATCAGAAAAAAAAAAAGAAAAAAAAAAAAACACAACACATAAAAATGAAATCCTGAATAGGTGTGAACAGGTGTTCAAACCCAGTACTGCTTTTAAACGCTCGTGTTAGTCCGAAACAAGCAGTACAGTGATGGATCACATTCTTGCTCATAAACAGGCCATCCTGGTCCATGCACACAGCACATGCACCAGCAAGAACTTAGGAGATCCCACACTGAGTTGATCTAACTGCTTCACAAATTCATACGGAGTTACAGAGTTGTTCAGAAGAGCACAATAACTTTTCATGGTACATTATCTTACAAGCAGTGGTTCCCAAACAGTGAGGGAGAGATAAGAATATTTTAGGTGAAGCCAAGCATGGACCCCAAGAAAATCAGCTTTGCAAGATCTGTGCTGAACGAGTGCGAAATTCCCACTTGAACTAGTCCGAGGAGCTGCAGATGGGCTAAGCTGAGGGACTGGTAGAAGGCAACAGTAACATCCCTGCTGGAGAGACACCAAGTTATCCCGAACACTGCCAGTTTTTCAAGGGGAAAGTACTGAACCACTCTTTTCAGAAGTAGCACCATTATTTCAGATAGAAATAACTCCCCCTGTTACTAAGGCAATAATTTAGATGTCAAGCACAGCTGAGACCACAGCTAGTAGCAATGCCCTGGCTCAAAGAACAGAACTTTAGCCTCAATACTTATAAGCTATATGCTAAAATCTATTTTTACTCAAGAGTTATAGCAGAAGGCTGAGAACCTTAAAATTCCAGGGACTCTTCTAAGCTAATTATGATGTCTATGGCTGCAACCATGATCTAGGGTCTAGCATTTCCATGATGCATTTCTGTCTAGGGGTTGGTACTGGTTTGGTTTCAGACTCAGTCTTGTTAACCAATGAAATGGGATTCCCGTGGCCAGCTAAACTGCTTTTTCTATAAGGACCAGTTTTGCGAGGAGCAGCAACAGGTGTCTGCAACTGCTGCATTTTTGTAGATAACTTTGAGTCAAAGGAAGGACTAGTAGCAGATGTGCAGTCAGACTTCTCCCAGTTTTCCTTGCCCAGTTGCTCTGTGTTCATCTGTGCTCTTGCACTGTATGGTGACTTATTGCAGGGTGGAGGTGGAGCTCTTCTTTTCTTTCCTCTGCTATCATTAGGACTTGTAGTATCTCTTTTTGGGCCCAGATGCATGTTTTTCTGAACAACCATCTCATGAGATCCATCAAAGAGTGAAGCCCATAGGGAAGATGCAGACTCTTTTTGCTGGCCAAGCAGGAACTCACCATCAGTCTCTTCGATTTTTCTTTGTATGATATCAGCTAAGCCCTCATGCTTCACTGGAGAATCAATGCCTGTAATTTTGAGGGACAGCAATCAACTCACTTTAAAATGCTACCAATGATTTTACTGCTACCTATTTCATTATTACTATTCAGAATACAAAATTGCATTAGCTATGTCTCATGAAGTCTGGACTACTATTAGGAGTATTAATGGATGAAACGGAAAAGATTACATAAGCTTTCAAAGAGAGAACCGATGGACAGGAGGGAACTGCTTTTGTGACTGCTGGCATTGCGGCAACAGGGTAGGCATTGATATTTCTTTCCAAGTAAAAGTCAAAAAAAATAGCGTACTACCAGAAAACTTATACGTGTTAGATATTAAACATATTTTGCTGTATACAGCTTTGAAAATTTAGTTTCACAGAAGGCCCATGAAAAAGCCTATGACTAAATATTCTTGTGCTTCCAGCCTGCAGAAAATGGGACCTCTTTATCTATATATAATTTTTCGTTATGTGCTTTAAGACTGTCTTGCCCCATTTTTTATCCCTCACATTGAGTTTTCTATGTATACTGAAGTAATACTAGCCTCAAACAGCAGCAATATCTTTTCTATTGCAGGCCACACGTTAATGATTTTCAGCACAGTTTTAAATACAGGGTTTTACCTACAGAATCATAGAATCATTTAGGTTGGAAAAGATCTTTAAGATCATCAAGTCCAACCGTTAACCTAGCACTGCCAACTCCACCACTAAACCACATCCCTAAGCACCACATCTACACACCTTTTAAATACCTCCAGGGATGGTGACCCAAACCTCTTCCCTGGGCAGCCTGTGCCAATGCTTGACAACCCTTTCAGTGAAGAAATATTTCCTAATATCCAGACTAAACCTCCCCTGGCACAACTTAAGGCCATTTCCTCTTGTCCTATCACTGGTTACTGGGGAGAAGAGACTGACCCCCACCTGGCTACACCCTCCTTTCAGGTCGTTGTAGAGCGCCCTCCGGTCTCCACTCAGCCTCCTCTTCTCCAGACTTAAACACCCCCAGCTCCCTCAGCCGCTCCCCATCGGACTTGTGCTCCAGACCCTTCACCACCTTCGCTGCCCTTCTCTGGACTCAACTCCAGCACCTCAAGGTCTTTCTTGTAGTGAGGGGCCCAAAACTGAACACAGTACTCGGAGGTGAGGTCTCACCAGTGCTGAGTACAGGGAGACTATGAATACTATAAATAAGCAGGAAAAAAGTCTGGCATATTAAGAGTGAAACAGAGTTTGTGTTCTGTTCCTCAGTGATGTACTGGAGTATCAGCAGAATTATGCTACCACGTTACATTTGTAAAACTTCTATATAGTTGATTTACTGCCTTCCTGCTCTGCATTCGTAGCTTAGATAGAACTCTCTTGACTGTTCAGTGCTGTGATGCACAGTAACTCAGTGACCCACATGGCATTTTGAGCATCTTCACAGTTCCAATCTCAAACAGCAAGCAGTCAGGCATTTATAGTTGTACGGTGTTTCTCAGCAAATACTGCATTGGATCCATTAAAACAAAAGTGACCTACTTTTTCTAGTCTGTAAATATTATTTCTGTAATGAAACTATTAAAACAATCCTACTGCATACCATTTTGCTCTGTTAAAATACAAGTCTCAAATACACGCTAGCTGGATTTTCCAGGCGTATTTTTCAACATCATTACCAAAGACTAAACAATTCGGTAAGTTATGTTAGGTAAGCCTTTAAATAGCTTTAAGAACATCAGATTAATTTCAAGCAACTAGTTAAAGACATTATTGGTTTGCAGACTGGACTATTTTGCTTTTACATTTCCTGAGCTTTATACTACTCTTACAATGAGTGTTCATTTGTAGTGACAGCTTTCTTGAATGTGTTCAGGGCTTCCTAGTTACAGTTCAGATTGCAGATTTTTTGGCTCAAGTTATAAAAAGGTATTCATTATTTGTGTTATTACAAATTCAGATTTAATATGAACTCCTTGGTATGCAATTATTTTGCTCTTTCATTGTCTGCATTGTCCTTGAAAAACTCAGTGTTTCAACATCAACACCAGAAGCCATCTGAACACAGACAATGTTGTTTCTGTTACCCTGCAACTTGAAAAGACAAATCCCACTTACTCATATCATGGTAGACGGAGGTCGCTTCTTTTGTTAAGAACAAAGGTGGTTTCCGTGGTGACATAATCTCAATTTTCATAAGTTCTTCACAACAATGTTTCCATTGGCCTGAGAGAGAAAAGAGAACAATGACTGGAACTTAAACATTTCAGCTTGAAAAAAATTGAAGTTATTAGGTTGTGTTAGGAAATGATCTCCAAAGCAATGCTAAACAGTAAGCATTTACTTTTGTTTGGCAGGAAACAGGATGCTTTTGTATTTTCAACTCTGCACTCCTCTTAGCACAAAAGTCATAAGCTACTACCTTTGATTTAAGCATCCCAGCAGTACTGTTATACTATGAAGGTTAAATATCATAATTTGCCTTCAAATCCCCAAACACAGCATAAATTCATCAGAAAAAAGAAAAAAAAAACTGAAAAAAAATTAATAATTTAAGGTTAGGGAATCTTCACAAAGTTATCAGGGACAACCTCCAATGTACTGCAAGCTGGATGCTACACAACTATGTTACAACGTTATAGTTAAAGGAACGTTCTGTCTTTAATAGAGGATAACTTGCCTTTTATCTGTTAGCAGACAAGGAAAACTCTTTCTCTATTAATAGATTTTGACCTTAAGGAAAACAAGACACAGTAACATTACTTTGTTCATACCAATCATTCCAAGTTTTCTGAGCACATTAATTTTAAGAGAATTTTAGGGCCAGGGAAGAAAAAAGGCATTTAAATGCCAAGTGACCCATTTTTTCTGAACCTAAGGAAAATGTCTCAAAAAAATCCACGGGTATTCTATCTATAATGAATAAGAAGTAGTTCTTTTACCCCACTCTACAGTTAATTTAAAGAGGATGCCCTAGTTTTTGCTTGGTGTGTTTCTTTAATTGATAGAGCCTTTTCTTATTGTAAATCAGAGCTAGAAAGGGCTACAAATATGAACTACAATACCAAGTTTCCACAGCCTCAGTTCACTGATTTTATTGGTGTGGCCTCTGACTAAAGATTGATACTTCATTAATGGACCTCGTTCTGTTTTCTGACCTGATAAAAATGACTACCAGGAACCGACTGTACCTTGTCAATGACCACATAACAACTGAAAGTTGTTCTCTACTCTTAATAGACCTGTGAGTCAAACTACTAAAGCAGAGGAAAAAGACAAAGACAAATTAATCTATATAGTTCTTATAATGAATATTTGTTGTAAACAAGCAACACAGTGTACTACTTCAATACTTTTTCACTGTTTTACATCGATAAATGAGTTTCTTCTCTCATGTAAGAACAGTGTTGTTCCAGAGGCTAGCCAAAGGATCAGGGTATCAATTTATCATCTCATTTATATCATCTGTTACAAAGCCTCAGGTACAGCTTTTACCAGGTTCAAGTAGCATGTATTTGCATGACTGGATTGGAGTGTGGCTAGGTGACCATATTCCCGTGTGACAAGGGGTACCAAAATCTCAGAATTACCAACAGAATCAAGTAATCTCTACTACAACAAATTGCAATTTAATTCATCCATAATACTGCTGAGCAAGGAAATCCCATATACATGTGTCTACTTGCAAGGGATGGCTGAATCTGCATCCTAGCCAAGGCCCTAAATGAATCCAGCATCCTCACCACTTCCCACTGATGCTTCTATGCCCAAAAGTTTCATACTTGCAGCATCTCACAAATCCAACACACCACTGGTAGGATGCCCAGGCAGAGGCGGACTCTTCCTGCTACAGTGGAGGAAGAGATGGCAAAAATTTAGCAGTCCTTAAAAAAAATTATTTAGAACACTGCTACAAGAGACCAAGTTCTTTTGAGATTCATGGACATAGTCTGCTTCTGGTTTCCTGCAAAAACCCAGACTGAACACATGGACTTTGGTTTAGTCAAATATTTGCCTTCCAACAGCTTAGACCACCACCCAATATTATTTCAGAGAACATTTTTCTTCTCATCGTTGCAAACAAAGGCTTATGAGGCAATTCCAATTCAAACTGTTCAAAGATCCCTTTGATGTTACATAGCACCCTACTTGGAGGGCACGCTGCCAGCACTGCCTGCTTACTTACTCAGATCATAGAAGTGCTGCCAGAAAGCCTCCGTCCACTTATGAAGTTCGTCCCTACTGTCAGTAGCAAAAAGCTGCGTCACAGCCTCTCCAGACACGGGGTTGATAACAGAGAAGTTATTAGTTCTTCTCTTGGAGTCCTTATCCACAGCTCGAATTCTGGTTTCCTAGGAACAATAAACTGTGGTAATGAGTTATTGCTTCAACTCCACACTGATATCACCTTATGGCCAATGACAGTGTAAGGGAGGTATCATTTGGCTTTTTATCTAATCCAGATGAATTATTTCCAATTAAAAAAAAAAAAAGGAACTAATGTCAAGAACTGCTTATAAAAATATTTTCTCATAAAACTCTTAAAATGGCATAAAATATGAAAAAGAAATGGAGTACAACTATTGCAGTTTAGTTCTGAATTACCTAATGTACATTCTACGTTTCCCCTCCCTCTGCCTTCACCAGCTCATCTCACACTGCTCATTCTTCTCCACAGTAATTCAGTCAATAACCTAAAATAACAGCAAGCAGCTCCTTTTCTCTGAACCCTTCAGCTGGGCAATGGCATTGTTACAGCTACTATTTATGTCTCCTACTGTACTTCTGCGGGACACTGTTTATGCAATGTATTCTAAGCTTCTATCTATTTTATGTTCCTCTTAGTGAATTAGAACATTCAGTGCTAATACTATAGTGACAGGGAATTTAAAAAGAAACTTACCTAGTCCACATTTAAAGGAGCGTTTGCAGCAGTTACCCTTACAGTTCTGCTAGAAGAAATTTCCAGCATGAAAAAACATTTTGCTCTAATATAAAAAAAAAAATCTTATTTGTCATTTCAAAATGGACATTTGAGTTTTGCCTTAATTAGGGAGAGCTACATAGAAACAATTAAAAAAATATATATGAGAAGTACATCACAAGTCCATCAAATTTCTTCAGCTAATGTTAGAAAGGCTCCAAGATTATGCATCGGCACTGTTACAGCCAATGTTTCCTCTTCTGTTTGGGGACATAGTTCAATTGATTTTTATCATCAAGACTAGATCCAGTGGTATTTTCATAGTATCTAGTTTCTTTGTTATGGCATCACTACAATTCAAAAAAAAGCACTTACCCCTAAGCGAGTGAAAAAATTTTTTTTCATGTATAAAATACTGAAAGATTTTAGTAAAAGTCTGATAAAACATAACTGAAAAAATTTCCAGAACACAACTGGTCAATATTGCTGCTCATCACAACATGATGAACAAATCAAAATAATTAGCATTACTTTATTTACAAAAGCAAACCCAGAAACCCTGGGAATATCTTTGCATATGCAATTCAACCTGACTGAACAAGCAATGGCCTATTACAACACTGTTCTTAAAAGGATTTTTGGCATACCCAGGAGAGCAGCATAATCCCAAATCCTGATGGGATGCTGAGTTTCGGCGCCAGGCAGCCAGCCGGCACCCTACAAGCTGGCCAGCCCTGGAGCCTGGCAGGACACGAGGCCGCCTAAGGCACATTAAGACCACGCAGCACCCTCCTGCCGCACAAGGGTGTCCCTGGCACGGGGAGGGCCCCAGGTTTTGAAGGAAGCCGACAACCACAGCCAGGGTTGTGTTCCAACGTCTCCTGTCTGGATGGACGGTGAATCTGACCGCAAAGGTGGCCTCGGAGCATTCCTCTAAATACAGTGGGGACAGATAAACCATGTTCCTTTTTACACAATTCAACCCAATGTCAAACATCTGCTAAAGATGTTAAACATACACCTACAGAAATTAAGTTTACACATGGGAGCCCATGGGAATAAGCCTAGTTCTGATACTCAGAAAAACAAAAATTATTCGACAGAACATTTCCCAGATTTTAAATGCATTACTGAAGTAACCATTTGAAATACCAACAGCTGCTTGTAGCATATCTGATGGATATGCTCATTTAAATTCTTCTGTCTAAAAATAGGAGATGAAGTAATTCATCCATAAGTGCTCTATATCCCATTAACTCAGGTAACCATAGATACCAGCAAAAAAATTAAATCAAATAGATTAACATTTGACAGGTAAGAACTTCAAGCATACCATACACACAAGTTTACTTAATGATGTTTGCTGCAGGTTTCATCCCACAACCATAGTATTATTCAAAGGAGACAAATTCTCAAGCAACAATCTATATCTGATGCTTGAATATTTAAGAAGTGATACAAGATGCCATTACAGTAACAGGCTGATGAATTTACCAAGCTTGGTCGAATTACGCTACATGCCCAGTTCCCACCAAAAAAAAAATTAAAAAAAGTCACCAAACAAACAAAACAAACCCAACAAACCCCAAACAACAACAACAAAAAGTGTCTTAAGGTACCATGTTGTAATAATGCTCAACCTTTCGCAGTCTTATAGACAACTGAACCAACTCTGCTACAGCTATTGTAAAGACCAGAAAAATCAGTGGATTGGAATAGGAAAAACTGAGTTGAATCTTGAACTCAAATGACTCTTTCGGGGAAGCTGAAGCCAGTTTTACATCCTAGATGCAAAAGATCATTTTTTTTGAAGGTGGGGAAATACTAAAAGGGAAAATAATAGATTTTTTTAATGGAATATAAACATGAACCTTCCTCTATATTTTTCCTCTCAAATAAAAAAAAATTCTTTGCCTGATAATACCTCTCTGGAAAGCTCATCTTCTAAGCTAAAAAGAAAACAAAAACAAACAAACAAAGAAAAAAGATAGAGAGGACTTTTTTATTGCTGAGGTGCAACACTTTCCTGCTAAGCCAGTTCCGACACACTGAATAACACTTGTTATAAAGATCATTTTAAGATGTCAAAACAAATTACAGTTCTTGAGAAAAATATTGAATAACCTAAGATCCAGTTCTGTGTATCTATTTTAAGATTAAACAAACCAAATCACATATAACAAACTTCCTTCATCTTTTTAGTATCAAAAAATAAACCAAGAAATAACACAACACTGGAAACAAAACATAATCTGTTCACGTGTTGGTTTCTGCTGTAATGTTAATAATTTCCATGGGGTCTGTTTAAGGCAAGCAGGGAAATACGGTTACACTTAAAATTATGGCTTTCAAACACATTAATGCACCAGACTGAATTCACCCTATCAGCTATGAATATTTCCTCCTTCAATCTTCATTGTTTTCTGAACTTGTATTAATGAACATCCTTGTGGCCACTGGATGGCAAGTATAATGCATAAGTACAATATGGAAAAGCAATATTAGGATTTCTATGTCAGTTTAGCTATCTTCAGTACAACGCAGCAGCTAAAAACCAGGAGAAGGAGATGGCATTATATGACCAGCCTGCATTCTGTGGACCACCAGGGAACCATAAAGCAGTTTCCAAACCACTCAATTTGAGCATGTGTGTTATAAGGTCCACCATGTGGGATCTGGGTATTATATCTGCTTCCCCTGCCCGCATCCACAATCTCTTTCAAGCAACTGCAGGACTAAATTGAACAGTACAATGTAAGATACCAGACATTTGGAGGCACTTAACTGGTCATTGCTTTTCAAAAATATTTTTACAAGTATGGCTTGTCTAAGCCAACCAGTGGGACAAAGTCCTTACTGCAGAGAACAGAGATATTTTCGGAGCTGCCTTCGTTTCACCGCTGCTGGAGTTCCCTGACACACACAGAGAATATTGCTCATATTGCTGGCTCCCTAAATGTTCACATGGTCAAGAACTCATATCAATATCCTTCCGCTCCAGTCCAAGGGTGAACTCCCTAGTTCCATAGAAATACTACGTGGTTCCTTTGAAGTTATGCTGCTGCAGCCATCGCTACATTTTCCAACAAATTGCTCCACCTCATGTAGCCCAGAACAGATGTTCCAACAAGAACCGTCATTGAAGGTAACAGCCTGCAGAAACGCCAGCTCGGTTTTGTCCTTTCACTCCTGCTACGCTGTTTAGCAACCAGTCTATGAACTCTGAGCTTATGGCTGCGAACACTTGCTGTTCCTCACCCTGTTCCTCACCTCAACGATTAGCATGAACACAGAGATAGCTCTGGGCTTGCCGCACTGCGTGGCACCAGGGCAGACTGCAAAGGCAAAATATGCCAGGAAGGAAATCACATGCCCACGTTAATTCGAAGTGACATCCCAGAATTCCTCAAGCTTCAGGTATACATGGCACAAAAAAAGTTTTATAATCTATGACCAGGACACAATAGAATATGTATTCCAAATATTGAGCAACTAACATGAACTGTTGGCCCACACACCAATTTGCTAAGCTATCAGGTGTAGGCAAGGCCTTTATTATTCATTTCAAACTACAGAAAACTTGAAAAAATTTCAGGAACTGGCCCATAAGGAATATTTCTCATTCAAATTAGATTCCAGCAAATTTTATTTGCTACAGAAAATACTATTTCTCTTTTCCTACTTAGTTGTGCAATATAATATGTTATAATCACATTTAACTGGAACAATAATAGTCGCACTTGCATAATAGGAACTACAGAACCATTCTTGCTCAACAGCAATAGCAGTGAAGTCATCTGAAGCCGAAGTAATGACTTTGCTGGTCTTAATGGCTTCTTCAAGTCTTGATTCAAAGGGAACGGGCAATAAGGCTATCGGTGTGAATATTTTCCAGAGAGTTTCTCATAAATCCAGATGATTTCATTACTTTTCAGAAAATATCTTTCAATTACATGTAAAGGATCAGTTTCACATTACAAATGAAAATGCCACATATGAAACCAGAAGATATTTTAGTTAGAATGTCTATAGTTGATGTTCAATCTCAACTTTCATTTTGAAATTGCTGTTTCTATAACAACATGTAGCAGACAAGCCCATATGATTAGTCTGTTTTCATTTAATCCGTAAGAGAAATTTCATAATAAAGGAATCAAAAAATATCTGCAGGCATTAAGTTATTTTCAAGAGAAACTGTTGAAGTAGTAAAGTATCCAAATATGTTTCAAATTGCCTTTTTTTTTTTTTCTGGTTTAAATTTAAATTGAAGAAGGATTCGCAGTCATATTTTCCAGCAATCTGATGTACATGATTTTACGTACTTTCTACATGTTAGCTTTAAGGATACTCTGCAAACGTACAGACAGTCTCTCAGCAGAGGCTTATTAAGCTGGATTTTAAGTTCTAAGTGTATTGATAACTTGGAGGAGCAAAATACCTTAGTAGAATATGGTTGTTTTAAAAGGAAAAGCAAAACTAGGTTATAGACCAAAACAGAGACCTCCAAGGAAAGAAATGAGGTAGCCTGATAGATAATTTTTAAAAATATTACTGTCAAATTTTAGAATATGGATTTAGTCATTCTATAATTCACTAAAGTTTACCATTTCTTAACTGACATTGTGAACAGCTGGAAAACAGAATTACGGCAAAGGCTGATGAGTGCAATTAAAAGTGATTGAAAAGGTAAGCAAGTAAAGCTGTTTAAATATATATCACAGTCTAAAAATTTATTTAATGTAAATGTGTGAACAATTGGAAGAAAAAACATCTTTGTTAAAAGATACAGCACTAGCAGAAAGGTGTTTTTAATTAAGGAATCAATGTAAATCTTAGCACATTAAAAAAGAAGTCCTAACACAAAGAGGTCACATTGGTATACCTACTTTAAATGTTTGGTTTATATACAACTCTCACTCTAGGTGAGAATGCACTCATATTTTCCAGAAACTTTAAAGGTACAACACCAATATCAGCTTTTGGTAAGAAGCAGTTCTTTATTACTCTATGTCCCTATGCATGCCCAATCGTAGCCTAGTCCCTTTCTTGTACCACATAAGCATTTGTGTAGCCATGTAGTGGACTGAATAAGAGAAGTTATTAAAGGGTTGAAGGCAACCCTCCTCCTGCCCCCAAAATGAGCTAATCTTAACCCACATCAGTTCCCTTGTCCAATTCATCAGTCAGCTGCCCTAATGCCTGCCCTGGCATAAAGCAGCACAGCAGCCTGAACAAGCGATTGGACAAGAGCAATGCGTCTTTCACAATTGGTGTTGGCATCAAGCATTCACAGTAGTACAGCAGCGGAATCCAGATCAACCTGTGCTTAACAGATTCCAAATGTGTCTATTTACTTTTGTAAGATGAATCCAGCTATGTCAATTGCAAATAACATTAAATTCCTCTGCTCATCCTTATGCGATATTAACTCTTGATGACTGCACCAAAAACAGTTTTTGAAAGCATCTGTTCACTCTAGTGCTCGCCATTCTAGAAAGTCCTTCTAATAACGTTCCTAAATTGAACACTTAAATATTACTTCAAATTAAATACTTAATGTTTCTTTAGCCAAATAGTAAGTAACATTTAACTTTACGTTTTAAACTCAGCCTTTCCAATTTGGGTATGAAAAGCAGCAATAATGTCATCCTAGAGAACAGAACTTCCAAAGTTACTGTGCCCTATACAAAACCAGTATTAAGAAAAGCAGCTTATTTTAAGGCACTAAAGTATTTTGAACAATTCTCCAGCTCTCCTTCTAATTAAGACTGTGGCCAAATAACACACAACAACAAAAAAAGCTTTTGTTAAAATTCCACCTTGCTGAGGATAAAAGTCTACCAGAGCATTGCTAAGGGACTGTAAGCAATACATTTCCAAGGGCTGTCTTATGGAACTGTCATATAACAAGTTGTCACTTTTCCTAAAGAAAAACATCATCCTTTTTACCTCTATGTTAACCAGTCTAATGCAACAGAAGGAACTTACATCCACAGCTAAGAAGTGTAAGGTCCTTGCTAAAAAATTAAGTGACTGCAAATTTCTCTGAAGCATATCCCACCCGCATGCTACCTATAAAGCATTCTGCATACCAGCAGTTTAGAGCCCAAATGACTGTCAGTATGTCTTAAAACAAAAATAACCTCCCCCAAAATAAACAAAAAATCCAAACCAAAAAAAAACCCCATACAACCAATTTTACCTTGTTGATGGAAACTGTCAATGCTGGCTCCAGTTTAGCCTCAATTTCTTCTGGTGAGTAGTAACAAAAGAGTTTGCCACCTCTTAGTACGCAATACAGCCTCCTCCAGCTAGTCAGACTTCCTATCACTTGCTAAAGGGAAGAAATAGTGAAAAATTGCCAAACAAACTACAAATTAGGAGCATATTACAAGGTATACACAGATAGTCCCCTGTGATGAAAACTTAGCCACACTGAATTCTTTCCTATAACAAAGACTTTCTGTTGCAGAACATTTCAGAGTCACTGATTTTTTAAATCTTGGCGATACTTTAGATGTCTTCTGTTTTACAGTTTTTGCAGATTTATTACCATGTGACACTAACAAGACAGAATCTGCTGGTTCACACAGAACGAAATCTAGAACTGGTGTCTACTTTAAGAAAGCACCTTTATTAGCTACAGTAATTACACAATAAAAGAAATAAAAGAGTATCTCACTTCAGAAATCCACAGTGCATTCAACGAATGTCAGACATTTGTCTAGAATTTCTCAGCTTTCATAAATGCATTATAGTTTCACCATCAGTTTAAAGCCTGTAATTCAGCACTCCTGACAAATGACCCAGCCCCTCTGGCCCTCCGCTATCACCTTCTCATTTGCCTAGTTGTGCAATGAACCAAAATAGAGAAGTAAACTGGGTTCACATGAATCATTTTTGAAGGGATGAGTTTAAATATGGCTCGGTTCACCAGTCAGATTCACCACGCTGTGATATGAACTCTCGTGCTAGCACAATGAGATCTATGTACAAGGATGAGAGCCACAGGATTATTAGGACTGCTGCCGTCAAGTACCAGCCTAAACCAGTTCTGAAACAACAACTATACTTGATCTTTATGTAACAGCCTAAAAAAAAACTTTTATTTCTTCACACTTAGCCACTGCAGATACTGTTTGTAAATGCAGCTGCGAGATAGAATTTTGCCCTTGCTCTAGGTAGAACAGGTAGAAAAATAACAGTTCTCAAGAAGCCATTTCAGGTAAAAGCAAATGTTTTAACAATTGACTCTTAGTGACAGCTATTAACAGAAGAGGATGTAAACACGAGTAAGGTCTTCTTACCTGCTGATTAAGAAATCCTGCCATCATATCCCTAGCCATGCAGGAAGGCTGAGCAACTAAACGGCAACACATGTTTCCATACAGGGGGAGCCAAAAAGAGGATTGCTCTGGGGGAAAGACCAGGCAAAAGACAGACAAACACTTAGTTCTGAACATTTGCCCTAAATATATAGTTCAGCTTTCTACATCCATTTTTACATTAAGATCATGAATGTAAATAAGCATTTTTTTATATTTAAAGAAAAAGATTTCATCCTGTAGCATCAGACTAAAACTGATTTTTAGTCTAAAATTTTTTTTAATTAAGGTCGGGGGGGGGGGGGGGGGGGCAAAAAAACCGAAAGAATACCAAGTAAAAATGGAGATATTGTCCTGCAAGAACAAGTCGTTCTTATATAAAATATAGCTCTAAATCTCATTGCACAGCTAGAAACATTTGGAAAGATAAGTACACTGGCCATCTCATTTAAGTAGGATCCCTGAGCCCATACCATCGTGGCGCACAGCTACGTTTACACATAAGCACTTTGCTTCAGACTGTTTTATTAAGGCTTTGAATTTGTATCTGCTTCTGTCTTCAGCACTAGAAGAGCATTTAGGATTCCAAGGAGTTTCCAATGAATTGCAACACCCCTCCTCGCTCAGCTCTGCTACGTAACAGGCGTTCTCTTCTATAATTGGAAGCAGGTAATACAATGTTCCGTTGGCATGACTCTGTCTTTGGTCATGTTTTAGAAATGCTTGTAATGAACCAAAATATCCAGGTATGTAATTTCTTTACCAGACTAAGTTACGTAAATTAATGGCAGAAAAAGGAATTTGAAGAAGAAAGAATATAAAGTACTAATAAAAAAAGACTTACAAATATCAAAGATACTCAGAATTACTCATTCAATCCTTCAAGAAAAAAATGCCCCATAAAACTTAAAATCTGTACTTATTCAGAATTAATGAAGTTTAGAGAGTGAAATTCTCCTTGAGGCCAAGTCTACCCAAGTAAGTTCCCAGAAGCTACAGTGAAAGTCCCATGTCTGAAGTTAACAATTAGAGGGTGGCTTATGGGAGGGGCTATCCTTTCAGAAGATAATAGAAAAAGCATCAAAACCCGTACTCCTGCTACTTAGAACATTACCTTCAGTTGCAGCATACTCCTAGTCCCTGTGTTAGCATCTAGGTTGACTGCTGCCAACTTGTGCTGTCCTAGAGCTGAAGTACAGTGACCAACACAAGTTGCAAGCACACATGCTTACGTCCTGTGTTAAATCTGGGCCTGAAACAACCTAGCTGAACTGAAGCTATTTTTCTACTTTCCTTCTGACTACAGAGGAAAAAGCTGTTCTTCATTCTGATACCCTTCCTTGGTTGCGGGGAAGCAGAAAATAATTTGTATATAGCTACAATTCACATAAGAGCGAGATGCAAATGACAGAAGAAACTCCCAAAAGAATTAAATTTTCATCTGCACTTGAAATTTTACTCAACTTATAGTTTATTCAGCTGTGTACAGATGCCTGTTTTAGAGCCGTTAAATATTTTATTAAAGTTGTTCTATATTAAGTATCAAGAAAAATAATCTCTTTAAGCTCTTTAGTTTACAAGAGAGAGAAATGCAAAATGTTACTGGTTTTTTATTTCCTTAAATTGGTACCATATGTACTTACCATTTCCTGTAATGGTAAGGTTGTGGGTCCTGAAATTGTCCTCAGCACTCTCCAGCCCCAAAGTGGTATATGCTAGCAAACTGTACTTTGCTCCACTAAATGTGAAAGAAAAGGAAAGTTTAAGACATTTCTGCTTCACATTGTTCAGGCAGTAATTCAAGGGAACCTAGACATGCCTGACACAATTCATTTGGGTCCAAGGGAACGCCAAGGTGCAAGGCAGCACCTGTCCATGACCACAAATTGCCACCCTCAACCTCTTCCCACAGAACTCCTGCATCTCTGGTTTTCCTTGTAAATCAACACTGTCCCACGGTCTCTTTATCTGCTTCCTATAACCTTATCTCCTGTCTCCAGCCTGTGCATACCTCCAGTTCCCTCTCACCCCACAACTTCCAGGTCAACACCACGAGGTCCCATGAAGTGGCTCTTTCCATAGCCACCTCTCTTGGACCTGCCAGCCAGGAGACTTCTCGCGTGGCCGCTGCCTCCGAGCTGGGCTCACATTTACTGCCGAGCCAGCAGCTGCCAAACTCAGGTGTAAAGGCTGTGCTATCCAACCTCTCTGTACCCTGACAATGCTAAAAGCATCTCTCTCCTCTAGGCAGACACCAAGTAACTTTTAATAGTTTTACAGCTTTTATTCCTAGGTCTAAATCAACTAGATTTGGTAATAGGTTTAAAAATTGCTATAGTTAATAGAACAACTGATGACATAAAGTTTATCTGAAAATACAGGTTAAAAATTAAAAGGCTTTATACTGGTCCTCCGTGTTGCTCTGCTCTTTTGCTTTGCCTGTGTAGACTACACTTTATAAAACAGTTGTTTATATATGTATGTTTTAAGAGTATCTAATCGCCCAATTCTTCGCATGCAGAAATCTCTGCAGAAATCCTACAGTCAGTTTTGTAGCATAAAGGACTCTCTCACTTATCGTGCTTACAGGTTTCAGAATGTTATATCTTTGTTTTGGATTTTGCCTAGGGGAAAAAAAAATAATCACATTTACAATTCAGCACAGTGCATGTGGAATGCAATTCTTGGAATAAACTAGTATAAATTTGGTACATGTTTAACCTTTTCCCCCAAATACTCTTCCGACCAAGTAACAGATTTACAGTCCAGCAATGCAGTAAGAATCCCACCTGGCTAAAAGCAGTTTAAACAAAGTTCACAAGAAAACAAACCCCTCAAAAATCACTAACTACTCTCCCTAGCAGAATCTAGTGTAAGATCCTTAAGTTATCTTCAATACAGCATAAGATAGCTTAGTGGTGTAAGAAGTGAGAAGACACTACTGAACTAACATCCCTAAAAATAGTTTTGTTTCATAATATTTTTCAAATGTTATTTTTCCTAACAGCACAGTGAGAACATATGGTTTTAAAATCTTTGGCTCTGCAGAGCAACAAGGCAGATGCCTACCTAGCCCTAGCGCTAATGAAAGAAGAGGAGGAGAAGTAGCATGTTTGTTAGAAGGGAGGTCTGTTACACATCTGTCTCAAGGGAATAAAGAGAAAATTGAATACGATATAACATTCACAGTAGTGGGTTTTTGCCCAGAAACATTTCAAGAGGGCAATCTGAACAAAAACTCATCAGCATTTGTGTATGCTTCCCACTAGACTGTTCCCTAACAAAAGATTTTCTACTGATTATGTTTTGCCACACAGTTGAGTAATACATTACCATTTTATTTAAACTGTACCCAAAAGTTCAGTTTCTTCTCACAGATAAAAGTTATGTGCTGATTTTAAAGCTACTTTTTTCTAAAGCATGACTAATTACCAAAACAACCTTGCCAAAAAAAATAGCTACTTCACTTTTAAAATATGCTTCACAGTAACATTTCGTTCTAAAACATAAGTCATTCCTTTCAGCCAGCTGCAATATAATTTAGAAAAGTTTTATCTGCAAATATTTTTCAAATTTAACTGGCTAATCAGGATTGTTGACCACATTTTGCCCCTACATTTCACACAATTAGCTATAACTGCCTTAAATGGCAGTTTCTTTGTATAACAAAGAAAGATCTGCCTGCTGCATCTCATTCAGTACTTTGCATATCTATAGTATTTTTCCATGTAATAACTTTATTTAAAAAAAGAAAAAAAAATCAGCTCATCTCCACAACACACCTGTGGCAAAGGCTCGTTGTTAAATCTGTTTACTGATGAAGAGACATAGGCACCATAGCTGCCACACAGACACTGGCGTGGGAAGGTGTAACTATATCACCCTTTCTATCGATGCACATTAATGAATACACCTCAGATTCCAGAATCAGGTCCTGAATATGAATGCCAATGTTAGAAATCCCAACCTTAGTTCACTCATCCAGATATACATAGTGGAGCATTTGTGAGTCGAAAAAAAAAACCAACCCAAACTAATATGCTCACCTTTCAATCAGATATTAAATAATAAAAGGTAAAAACAAATATAACCTTCAGCTACTAAAAAGAACCCAACCGTAAAAGTGAGGCCTTTAGGTTAGACTATGTACTTCTAGCAAAATATCACTATGAATTTGCCAATTCAAACGTAGGACACCGAAGCCGTGCCTCCAGCCCAGTGGAGGACAATACGTAAAAAGCAATAACAAGTCCATGTGTAGGCCAGTTCTGCAAATGAACAAACATGCACTTCAGGGAGTCTCTCCAATGATTTATCCAAAGAGCAACGTAGTTACTCTGGAATTCAATAGTATAACTGCACTAAACACTTTCTATGACAAATGTAAAAAGAAAAAAAAAATTTAAGCTAGAATGGAAAAATTAAGCAGGCAAAAGACTGTATAGAAATTAAAAGAGAGGTTATTAAGACTAGAGAGAATATCAGTATAACTGAAGTTAACCAACCTAAGCAACCATTCAAAGCACTTTGTCACTAAGCTTTTGCAAGAAGTTACAAGGCTGACAGTTTCCTCACTAACCAAGGAGATTTCTAAGCCAAGAAGTTTGACACAGAGGGATCACAGAGTTTTTGGAAAACGGAGAATTTTGCCCATGTGTGCTCTGGAAAGAAAAAGGCTTGTACAAATGAAATCTACAGAGAAAAGCTGTTCATTTAATACAGAAAGTTCCCCTTTTTGTCGCAGTTTAATTTCACCTGCTAGACTGGTAAAACTCTCTGGGAATACTTGAAAGATCTCTTGTAATCTTGCAGTCTCTTCCTCTTTACAAGGGCTACATACCAAGGTCTTACTAATATAAATCCTAAGGGGAGCCTATTAAGAAAAAAAAAAAATTGACAACTTATTCTCTGCCTATGAAAATCCATTTCTTTACAACACTCTTTTTAATCACCTACCAAAGCCATCATTAAACACATCATTGTTCATTTAACTCTGTTACGAAAGTAACAGCCACTGTGAGACGCCTATTTACAATAGAAACAACAAACTTCAAGTTGGAGGAAAACAAAATACAATTACAATTGAGAAACCAAAAACAAAACCCAAGGGAGGAGGCAGCTGTTTAGATTGTCTACTGATGCTTCTTCCTTAATAGACCTGCAATCTATATTGATGCCAGTACGGCCAGCAAATAAGCTAGTGGTTATATCTAATGATAGTGTGTCATCGCCCAGCTGGAGTTTATGGAAAGCACGGCCACCTGAGATGATGCAGATTGAAAGATACATTGTCATTAGGTGGAACACACTGGAAAGTTAGTGATAAAATTTGCTTTGCTCTGTGGATAAGATCTCTAGGATGTGTATTTTTGATTGAAACGGTAATATCAGTATACGGTAACATCAGTTTGACAAAGATAGAATACGCTTGAATGTTTCCTCTTAAAATCCAGGCAAATAGATAAATGAAGCTAGACTAAGACTACACTCAACACCTGGCAAGAATTAGGCATTTATTCTTCACTGTTCAGCTGTCAAAAAAAAGTAATTCCTTGAAAAAATTGATTTCAAAAAAAAAAATTTAAAAATCAATATTATTAATATTTATATTTTAGGTACTTGGCCTGCTTAAATCCCAATGACATTAGAGTAGCTGGGAAATATTAATAGGCAGTTAACTTCACTAAAAAATGCACAAAAGAAAGACTTAAGATCGTTTTTAAACGGAAACAGGTAAATTACTGGGAACAGCACTTATGTCTATGAACAATGAAAAGCAGTAAGTCATTTTAAAATGTTCTGTGCTAAAGTCAATTAAGAAAACTCCTGTTAAGCAGCTCGCAACTGTAAAGTGCCTTTGCCAGTCCAGAGCTTTATTGAAAAGCCAGCAAGTGGAATGGCCCCTATGTGCACAGCATGCATCCCAGGCACAACAAACAGCTTGGTCAGCTTCATTAGGGGTGAAGGTACAAGAGAGGTTTCTCCTGTCTACACACCACACTTTTTTATTTCACACAACTTGTAGCTTTTGGACACGTCTGCCTGTCTGTCAAGTGTGAGTAAAATTGTCTAGGTGCAAAAATAATATGGGGGAGGGAGGAAATGGGAAAGGGAGAAGGAGAGGTAGATGGACAAAGGGACAAAGACCGACTGATCATACAAGCTTGATTTCCTCCAGAAATCAAAATAAAACATTATAGTTTGCAAGTACCAGTGGGTTTACCAGCTAGCTAGCTGTATAGCAGAAAGATAAAGCCTGCTTTTGTGTTTCAAGATCAGAACCAGACCTCAAGGCTGAGCGACATCGCTGGAATTCACACCTACTTTCTCATTTCCTATTTAAAATGTAAATTTTTTTTCACTCTGGTAAGTACAGAAATAATCACTTTCTTGGCAGTTTTCCAAAAATTTACAATATATTTGGCTTATTTCTATTTTTAAAATTATAAAACCAGAATATCAATGTATATGGCTTACTGGATGACCGGGTCAGCGGGCAAAAGGGATTCATTGCTCTCTTCTTCCAGTGCAGCTTTGAGTTTCTTCCCTGTAGCTTTGCTGAGGGATGTTTTAAGCTTCTTTGCTAGTTTCTTAGGAGTGTTTGTTACATATAAAGACTCCTCTGTACAGCAACTATACACTTCAACCTTCACCTGGAAATCTGGTCTTGCTTCATCACTGAAGGGAGGGAGGGAGAAAATTTCAGAGCGTTTGTTAATAAACCAAGTACACAGCCAAGGACTAGCTGCTGCTACTATATATTAAATAATATTTCTAATATATTTCTAATCAAGGGAAGGAATGCCATAAGATTCAAACAAAGACATACATTAATATGGAATTAAAGACTAGAGTACACAGCAGTAACTTAGTGCTGAAGTCATGAGATGGATGTTATAATTAAACCATAAACTATTGCAAACAGGAAATTCAATGTTTAGGTTAAAAACTGAAAAAAACCACCCATGTTATGGAAATACACAGGCAAGACATTCAAACACACTTAAATCTGCCCTCTACTGTTATGCAATCACATGATTGAAAACCTATCCGTGCCTGTGGTCCTAAATCAGATTGAACTGTTTTTAAGATATCTTAGTAGCACCCCATCCCCTTCACATTATTAAAAAAAAAAAAAATTCTCTCTCACTTACAACCAACAAAACTTGTCATTCACAACTTAACTATCTATTGCTGCATTCTTCTGTCCACAGCCTATGCTTTCTGTTTTCAGTTCTACAGATTCACTTGTTCTCAAGCTTAATCATCAAACCAGAAGCCTAACCTCATCTTTCAGGTACAAATCATGTCATTACGTATACGCCCATAACGAAACCATCCCAAAGGCTTTTATAAAAAGTCTTTCTTTACCTCTGGAGTTACAAGGCAAGTCAGAGTGCCTTTTCTGCTTTTGTTGCAGTATTTCACAGAAAATTATAATGGTCAAGTCTTGCATCTTTGAACAAGATGATGTAAATCTTTGCCCTCACTCTTAATTTGAACAGGTGTTTAAGAGAGTTTAAAATCTGATTTGAAGACCCGCTTGCTCTCAGCTACTCAGTTTTCAGGATCTTGATTTAAAGTTTTCAGTAGTTCTAGCTTTCCAGTCAGTCTTCCTCAGGAGACTGAATCTAAATTGCTAATAAAGCAGGGTGGGGGGGTGGAGAGTTAAGTGCCCCTTCAGGACTCTCTTAAAAATTATAAAGCAACAAAAAAGTACATGAGAACACCTTTCTAACTCTTTTCCAGTTACTTTTAAAGATAAGTGAGTAATTTCCTGTCTAGTATTCTTCAACTATAAAGAATGTGGCTGTAGCACATGCTCTGATAGATGTAACAGAATATAAGGTGTGGAAAGAGACCATAGCCTGTTGTACAGAATAATACTTAAATCACTGGGTACAACACTCGTGTCTATACTTTCATAACGTTTTCAGGTTTTAGTATTAATTTAATTCTGCCCTTGAGGTACGAGATTATCTCTTTATATAAAAAGAAAAATTCTCCAACATGGCAAAAATGAAAACAAGTACAATTCAAGCGGCACATCTACAACCAGCATCATTATGTACATCAAAACCAACCTTTCAGAGGTGGGGATCCACCACCCACTGAATTTAACAGGACCTCTGCCAATTCTTTTGTCCACAGAAAAACTTCGTGGACCTCAGCCACTCTTATTCATAATTACATCCACTTTCAAAAGAAAACAGCAATATTTGTACTTCATTCAAGAGAAATAAATTATACTCACAATATGGTTACATTTTCAAAACAGATATCTGTTATTGCTTTATCCACCACAGCCACCTCTGTATCAAAAACCTCAGCTCCCATTCTGAACAAACAAAAAACTGCATAGCGCTGTGATTCTAGAGAGAGCCAAAGAAACGTTTTATTAGCCATATTATACATCACAATACTAAATGCTTCCAGTAAACAAAAGCAGAAGAAACAGTAATTCAGACCTCTAAGGAATTACCCTCAAATTCTTCCCATCATAAATTTTCATCATAGGATTTTATGATAATCGAATTATCAAAGCTGCAGTATAGGTAGAACAACATTCACAGAGGGAAAAATCCGTACCTCTGCTCAATTTTTTTTTCCCTTGATAATCAGGGGTAGTTTGTGCTAGTAGTTTTAGAAAATTTATTAAAAATGTAATTTCATTTAATAAAACTGCTTTTAGGCAAAAAAACCCTAACATTTGATCCAAAGCCTGTATCATTTTATGAATGTACGATATAGGATTAGACTATTTTGCCACGCTTAGCCCCTGTGACCCGATTGAAAATCAAAGTGAAATCAATGCCAGGTGACAGCTGGAACAGATTTAGGGTTAATCTCCATGACACAGCAAAATGCATGTACTTGAAGACTATTCAATAATACACTCAACACCAACAGACAACTTCTATTTAAATTTCTCACTGGAAACAGCCTCCAATATACTCCCTCAAGTGTAGACAAGACATAGAACAACATGTTTGATCAGAAGTTTCTCAGCTATCCATTTAATAACAACATTTTTCTGTTGCTTCCTCTGGACTTTCTCCTCAGGAGGACTTTTTAGAGACAAGGATTCAAACACACAGAACCACAGGACTTTGAACTAACTCAGCTTGCTACCACCAACAACTTCAAGTTAATAGCAACTACGCAACAAACAGATTAAAATACGGACCTACTGAAAGGTCAAAGCAGCGGTGAAAATGAGTATGAACTTCCCCATTCAGTTTTAATTTACAGACACACGCAACTGCTTATCAGAGTAGTTCATTACATCTTACGTACTGTCTTTATTGCTGAAGTGATCAGAATCTTTCCACATTAACGGTATTCGAATATCTAAGGGGGGGAAAAAAAGGCAGCGAAATTAAGTTATAGCCAATACTATAGACTTATGATCAAAACAAATCACAAAAAGTTTCTTTTTTGTTTTCCTGATGTTCTGGAGGTAACACAACCTTCTACCCAAAGAACAGCATAACTATTTCAATTTTATTATCCATGTCAAAAGAAAATTCATCAATTAGTTCAACTTGAAGTGTCATTTTCTTTGAGAAATTATGCTAGGATAAAGAATATTTTAGATCTCATTTGAAAGTACCCGAAATAACATTTCAGCGTGGCTGTGTAACACAGTTCTGACAGGTATTCTCAGAACTCAGGGGTTCGGAGCCCATTATTATGCACAGATGTAAACTGAAACTCTGCTTGCCTTGTGCTGGAAACCACTCAGCCAACTGCAAGAAGAAAAACTTCCTGTTTTAATGGAAAGACTGGGATACTTATACTGCAAACACTTAAGTCTTGTTTTGCTAACCACAGAGAAAATTTCACTTGTAATCACATTCCCAGTTGGAATTGTCTTAGTTAGCATAAAAAGAGTTTAGAAATCTTTTTTTCCAACTCAGAAATATCCTTCTACTTCAGAACCATAGTAAAGAGGCAGTTACAGAACCATTATTTTAAGTCATGCCTGTCCTTTTAATATTAGGAAAGTATTTTCTTCAACAAATTTTCCAGTTTATCTGCTCAATCCAACACAGTACTGAGTGACATTTTCCTCCAGTTTCAAGGACTCAGGTTCAGACATAATGTTGATTATTAGTCCCTTGTTAAAAGACAAATGCAGTGGGGGCTTATAAATCGAAAGTAGGTTTCTTAAGCACAACACAGTGTTATTTAAAAGAATATGCAATATATTAAGTGACACATGATGGCAGCAGTGAACCGCAGTACCTCAATTGTCTTTGATAAAAATCTTCAATACTGTTAGAAAGGAGCATTGCAGACTCCAGCGTTGATATCCATATGACACTAATGGAAAAGTCCACATACAGTGGGCTAAGATGCAAAACAATAGCGGTATTTTGGCAACAGATTGTCATGTATTCCTACAGAGTTTTACCCACAAAACTTACTGTTGATTTAAGAGAAAGTGTATATAGTCACTCTGTTTCAGAAGTTATATTAAACAAAAAATTTAAGTTTAACTTAATTTTGATTATATTATAGGACATCTTATTATACATGCTATTTCAATTTTGTAACTTGCAAATTCATCTATTTTTAAGTGTTCATGAAAACTAATGAATTTTCAACGGTGAATTGCCAGTACACAGCTTTAGACTGCCACAACTTCCTAAAAAGCAGTACGTCGCCACATTCTGAAACTGCCTTTCACTTCTAAAGATGCATTTGCATAGTAAGCATTTCTAAAACCAGTTTGTTTTTTAAAATAAGGAAACAGAAATAGTTTCATTTAAACAGTTGCAGAAGTCTCTCTCAAACTTTAAAAATATAAACATTTATCTCTGTCAGAGGCAAAGCACAGAATGTTTCTTTCCTAAAAGACAAAGGTCTTAAATTTACATAAATATGTGAAAACAGTTACGATAAAAGCCTTTTTTCACCTTTAATCATAGCAAACTCTGAATGACAATTCTAATGCCCTTAATAGGTCTTGTTAACAATTAAGAGCAGTAGATTAAAGATTACTTCTGTATGTCACTTTCAACATCATGCTAGCTGAAAAATTTACACCTTAGACAAATCATCAGGATATAGTCAATGACTTGAACAAGTTTAACATGACACTTGTAAATCAGTTTTCAATTCATTCTTGGACTGAAAGAGCTGTCATTTATCAAAAACAAAGATCAATTTTCTCACACCTTAATTTCAGTCACCATTAGCTGTAAATCCGTATGGATTCAAGTTGGATACATTCAAGCACTACAATTAATCAGATTTAAAACCAATGATTTCTTTATAAAAGTACTTTAAATTATGATTATGCTTTTTGATTAACATTTAATGTATTGTCTTCTGACAAAATAATTGATTGATAACATAAATTACTTAATTTATTCACACACATGGGGGATAAATAAGTAAAAATAATAGAAGTGTGAAATTCTGTGGATTAAGGAATGCAGTCCCCACGCAGTATCTGACATACAGTTGCTTTCTGTAGGAGTACATTCCTCAGTACTCCTTCATAGCTCTTCCTGAACTTTTGGCGTTGGCCACATGTTCGCACTTTTTTTTGGTAGTAGTCTAAGCTTCTCGCATGTACTAACCATATGATACACTAATAAATTTGTAAGTGGATGGATTACTTTCCCCTAAAAAAATCCATTCTGTATCTTCAATTCTGAAATTACATGCCCTGTCATACTACACAGACTACCGCTCACTCCTCATTTCCAACCTCTCCCGGACAATTCAGTCACGACATCTCCTGATTCACACTCCTTGTATTTGCAACTGCATTCTCAACAAGGCAGACACATGCACACACACATGTGCCTTGCAAACACGCAGGGCAACTCCAGTTGCAAATCCACTGAAGGGCGGCATACAAGAGAGAAGAAATGCAGTGTGCCCAGTTTGCTACACAAGGATTCGGAAAGGTAATGAAAGAAGAATATCAAGACATTACAGGTGTGAAAATACCGCAGCTGTGGAAGCAGACAGGACTCAATTTGGTATCCTAAATGGACAGAGGGTAATGGGTCAGCGGACAACGCAAGGAGGAACCAGAGAGGCATATGTTAATGTCATCTCAGGATCTCCCAGTCATGTATCTTGCCTGGAGGCTCCTGCTCTTGTGAAGCACGAACAAGCCTGTCCCCACAATCACTTCTCCTGCACCCCAGTTCTCTGCTTCTTAGGCACACACAGTAGAAAATAAGGAGTTAATAACAGGTGATCTATAGAAAGCATAAATCTCTCGGCAGAGGCCAAGAAGAACATTTAGGCTTTCCTGGTGTAAACTGGACCTTGCCAGGCTTCCCGACATGAGCATCTGAAGAGGGACAAGGCATGGCAGCATCCCAGCACTCACAGACTTGAGCTCACAATGAGATAGTTGATGCCTCTTTCTCTTCTTCACAATACTTCTGAGGATCATAACCTCCAGTTTGAGAACCATTATGCCAGTAACAGAACAGAATCATTATTAACAGATGGCACATAATAGGAAGTGCTGTATTTCACCCCTCTATTTCCTTGTCCCATCAAAAGAAACTAGCTAAATGTTTCATATCCCAAACAAATTTTACATACTAAAAATAGAGTCCTTACACAATTCTGATTTTCTAAAGATAATGGAAGTATGTTTTATGAGCCTATAGTCTTCACTGCAGATAACTCTATAAATCTGAAGAAAGGTGCAACCGCAGCACAGACAGGCAAACAGATGCTTTCATCCAACTACCATAAGGAGGAAAGACAGATAACGTTCTCCAAACAGCTGTGCTGGCAGAAAACATTACTGAACCATGTGCTCATCACTCTTCTACTAGAATTTACCTTGCTTCAAGATATGTCAAAATATGCAGAATTAACTTACACAGTTTAAAGCAGTGAGCCCTTCTACACTATTTTATTTTTAATGAACCAGGTCAACGAGCACAAACAGCTCTGTTAGCAAAGCTGGCAGAACAGCCACAACGAACAAAAAATATAACATCCATTATTGGCACAGGCAAACAAAATGATAAATTCATAGTGCTGAAGTTTGAGAACAGTCTAGGAAACAGCATATCAGCCTACTAGAAATCACTGTTAAATATTCTTGTTACTAGTTTGCATTGAAGCCATATCACTACACCTTTGCTGTAGTAACGTAACCTGCACTAACTAAATAATATTTGCATACTAGTTATAATTCTGCCCTCAATTTGTTAGACATACCCTGTACGATGACTTCAAAGTTTGTCTTTGGGGGGGGAACAAAAAAATATATCAGCACTTTTTCACTTATTTAGCTTTGAAACGTATTCAGTGTTCAGTGACAAACAGAAAAAAGTATTTCCCACTGTGAAAGTCCCTGAAAGTAAAATGGAAATACTAGGTAGGATCTTCAAAAGCACATGTGTGACTTAAAAGCACAAGTCCCCTTGAATCACAAGAGGATTTATGCCCCTGAACCACATACATACTTGAAAAATACCATCTTGTTTCTATAGTTTGTATCACTAGTTACTGTCCAGCCAATTAGCTCCCATAATAAAGTGACTACCCAGCCACTTACCTGATATAGCAACCTTTGCTCTGCATGCCACACGGTCTTTTGTCCCACCTTCTGAAGACCTGCCAAAAAGAAGAAAAGAAAAATGAAGTTTGAGACCTGTGTATTTAGACTTCTAAAACTCAACACTTTAAACATTAAAAACTGTCAGAGTTTTCATATTATAACTCATTTCAAATGCTTTTCTTTAAAGTTAAATTTGGTATCTCTGGTTTAAGATACGAGTCATTAGATTCTTGAGGATAATCTGGAAAGAAGGTACACCATCCATTTTCTTAATTCCCTAGAAGATTTTACTCCAAAGCTTATTTAACCTGGATATTAAAAGACAAGTAGATTCATCTTCCTTGTCTTCTCCAGCTCCAACAGAATCAAATATATTATCAACTTTTCCCCGTTCCGTACACACCAATGAAGAAGCAACTTAATTTATCAGTTCTATTACTGGTTAGAGAATTGCCTCCTCCTCTATTAATAGAGACCAATTACAAAACGTTGCATTGTTAATATTGTGATTTTACATGTAGACAGACAGTTTGCTAAGTAGCCAGACTGTAGATCTCAACCTTAAATTGAATCAAAACAACCTGTAGATAATGAGTAACAACAGAGTGCTCTCCTTACATCTGCCACTGCTCCTAACTCCTAACCAAATAAGGTGAAATGAACATTTCTAGCTGCTACCAATATCCTGACTTCCAGAGGCAGTTACAGTATCTTCAGAACTCACAGGTCACAGACCCACGTAACAAGCAACAGGGATAAAATTCACTTGAAAACACTAGAAATTTCATCATCATCATCTTACCTGGATTAAGCTTTAACTAAATTCCAGTCTTGAGCAAATACTGAAGACAGAACTGCAAATGCGCCATCAACTAACAAAGATACGATCTAAATGGTACAGAAATAACTCTATAGCACACATCTCTTCTAACGACCTCCACTGACAATTCACAGGACCCGTTGTGACAGAACTCTAAGCAATGCATGACAGACACAAATCAAGTAAACAATGCAGCTGACTATTACTGTAAGAAAACAATACAGTTGTTCATATATATGTCCAAGTATCTGTGCCCTGTTCTGGACACGTGCCATCACCATTCTGTGGTCACTGACGTCAAAGACCTGGAGTTGAGTAAATCAGCATATATACATACTTGATATCATTCGTTCATTAAAAACATAAAAGATGAATCACTATAAAGGTCTGCATCTCAGTAGGAGAAAGCAATACAACTGCAATAATTACAGAATACCACAAGTTATAAGTGCTAGTTTTCAAAAATCAGCTTTCAGGGTAATAGTTGGTACAGTCAGAAAATGCAGTTCTTTCCTTCAATAAATTTCTCCTACAAGACCCCCCTTTCTGAAAGCAAGAAGTAGAAAGACTGTTCTTACAGATACGATTAACTGGAGCTAAGCATGTACTTGAAGAGTTTCTATGCTAAATTGCAATACATTTCATTAAAGTAATAACCTGAGAGTAACAGTGTCTCTGCACCACGATTATCAACATTGGACCCAAAATGTATTCCATTAGGCAAAAAATTATAACATTATTCAAATAAACCACATATACTTTAGCTCATTCAAGAGTTATAACGTTAGAATATTTTCAACTAATCTGATTTTTCTTCATATTTATTGTTGTATTTTTTTATTCCTTTGCTGAAGTTAACAGAATTGGCCAGCAGAGGGTACCAATTAACCATGATGATTCCATCGTTAAAGGTACCTTAATAACAACAGAAAGAATGAAAAGTAGAAATAGGTGTATTCTGACTTGGATAGTTTGGGGTTTGTTCCTTCAGACTGGGTTAGGTACCTTTTTGTATGCTAAAGGCAATCAAGAAAATATGTCTATTATGTTACCTGATATTCAGACGCTGAATTACAGTTTAATGTCAATAATAAAATCTACTCAGAAAAATATGACTTGTATTTAATTTTCTAAAGAAAGAAGATGATACTGGAATGGTCTTACAAAGTAATGTTTTAAGGCAGCAGTAACGTACATTTGTGTGGCAGAAGACGGAAGGAAAGGTTTAAATCCACTTTCCTAGACAGGCTACTGTGAATTCAGGTAAGCAAAAGCCTGCTTCATAACGCTCCATTTGAATTTGAGCTGTTACTCACCGTTCTTTGGTTCTGCACGAGATCAGCTCTTCTTTTCGGTTCTGCAGCTCTGTCCTGTATGCAAGTATACGAGCATTGCAAACCATCAGGTTTTTAACCGCTTGCAAGAGCTGGTCTTTTTGTGTGCTCACTGCAAGTAGTTTACAGATGCCTTCTCGCATGCGGATTTCAAAGTTAATCTTCTCTTGGATGTCGCATTCCTAGGTATGCGGAAAACAAAGGACTAAACAAAAACGCAACTAACGATATCCTGAATCTTTAACAAGCTCTACTTATTCCACAGTTAGGATAGAAAACCCTAGGTTTTAATTATACGCAGCCATTCCAATGGTTACTAAATGTAAAATTATTGTTCTCTCTTCAGGAACAAAAGAGTAAAACACAGGATGAAACAGGTTCATTATATATGCAAATTCCAAACCAGGTAGTAACATTAACTCAGAGCATCTGAAAGTTACTAATAATTTATGTGCCTCACTGTGTCACTCACAGGATAATAACACACGGTCCCCTCATATGGACTGAGAAGCCTAACTGAACAAAGCTTGTAAATTAACATCCCGCTTTTTACAGTTATCCCAACTAAAATAAACTCTAAACTCAGGAAAATATCTGAAATATTTTAAATCAGAAATTCAGTCTCATTACTTCTTTGGCCATCATAAAAAGAGTTTAAAAAAAATGTGGGTTTTTCACTTCTGGCTGATACAAAATTCAGGTAATACCAGAAGCAAAAAAAGGAAAAATATCCCAACACTTGACTGTTTCAGGCCTTGAACTGAAAGTCAGACAGCTGTGGCAGCTTGAACACTACAAGGATCATGCCCTGCCTGCGGCACAGCCGTGCACACTTTTCACTCAAAAGTATCAAGTAACAGAGACTTGCCTGTCAAGTCACTACAACCCTGTATCATTGTTTTTTTGTAGGAGTAGGGGTTTTTAAGGTATTATAAAAACATATGGGAAGTCAACTTTTTCCTACCTACTTTCAGAGAAAACAAACATTTATAAATGCGTACTATTCCTCACTTGCTACTTCAAAGAGGTCAATCAACATCAACCCAGAAGATAATTGAGGTGAAGGATCACAGACAGCTTGCTGTCTCCCAAAGGTGTGCTAGATGCCACTGATGATCGATACACATTTCCTTGTTAGGTGGCCATCCCTGGCCAAACCAAATATTTCTGACACATAAAACCCAGAGTGTTGTCACTACTGCAGGGTTGCATTGCAAATACATTGCAAGTCGGTGATGAGTGAAGCTTTTTTAACACTGAGCAAGAGTGTCCCAACTACTTCTGGAATTAAAAGCATTGTGTCAGTTTTCAGTTTTATAGTACATCTGAACTCAAAATAAGTGCTTTGGGGATGGATCTATAAGCAATGGACTGAAATTCATGGTACAATAATTTGAATTTACAAGTTTGGTATTTCAGCTAGTAGAAAAGGCAACTGGCAACTGCTCTCCCACAAGACTCTAAACAGGATAGAAACAAGAGGGAGCCAATTTCTCCACAACTCAAGTATCTGAGACATCCAGAACCCATGAAAGGGGTAACACGGACGATTTTCTCTTTTAGCTGGGACTCACTCTGTCATTAGCTGCCTTTGACATGAGAAAGTGACCCTTCATACCAGCCCCAAGCAGCAGGTGGGAACTCACCACAGAGTCACCACCCATTCCCTCCCAACTTTGCAGGAGCCGGCTTTATTGTTTTTGAAGGCCTGATACCATAATGTAAAGATACATAAAGTTTCAGCTGTTGTTCCATCTGCTCACAGAGTACCTCTCCTTTGTTACCCTAAAGGAAAAGTAGCCCCGGTCTATCAGCCATGCTCAGCACCAGCGCAGCAACATGCTCAAGTTGCAATAATCTACTACGTGGCATCTGCAACAGAGCTGATCCCCAGCCACCTCAGAACACCACTATAAAAACGCAGGGGCTATCAGATCCCTTCAGCAGTATAAGCCTCTTGATCTCTTTCCCACCTCTTCTGTCATAGACAGCAACTTCATTCTTGCTAAAATGAGACCTAGAGCCGTACAGAAGGTTCTTCTGCCCCACATCAAGAGCCGGCAAGTTGCTAATCTCCATAAACAAACATAGTTTCTCATTTTGCTCAGGTTATAAAGGAGGTGGGTTCCCCCCCACCCAAGATGATAAAGACCCCAGACTTGTGTATTCAGGCAAAGCAGGACAAATATATGTTCTACTGAATTTGCCAGTGTTTAAGACAATTTAGTCACACGGTGAGAACACAGATGATGACTAGACACCACTGTGAAGGAGGATACTAATTGAAGCAGAGAGGACTCTCCAGAAAGTAAGAACTCTCAGTCTGAGACCCCATGAGAAATGTTTGGAACATGCACAGGTTACCATGACACGGGCTCTCTGGCACCAGTGGGTTGTTTGGTGGTGAAGAGCTCCCAAAGCTGACACCAGAGATGTTTTCCATAGAAGTTTTGCTGGTATTCCCTACAGTCAATCTATGAAGGCCTAGGACCCAGTATGGCACCACAGACTACCCCAGTTTTCCCCCTCATGGATTTGCTTTCCGAAGTTTCAACCACAACCAGTTCAGGATGAAGCAGGACACCAACCCCTCCGCATCCCCAGCACCTGCTTCTCTATCCACGCTTTGTCTCGGCACTCACCCCAGAAGAAAAGGAGAAGCAAATAGCTTTCATCAATCTTCTTTTATTCTGAGTCAAATTTTACACAGCTATGAAAAGTTAAGCAAGGCCCACAGCTGCCCCTAAGAAATAATTACTAATTCTTTGAGCCTAAATTAATACATAAGCTGTTACAAAGCCGAATTTCATCTCAGAGGCGTGAAACAGTACTTCCCTCTAATATTTCCCAGGGTAACAGGCCTCTGCACTGACCCAGCAGAGCCCATGTCTCCTCTCCAGGTCTGTCACCTGGTACTAACTATGGCAAGGAAATCAACTCTCCTAGCTTGGGGCATCTGCAGGTATGCATATTGGGACTTTCAGAACTACGCAAAAGATTTAGTCCATGCTACATCTCAGCCAGGCTCACATAAAATATTCTGGACTATCATTAAACAGTTGTTGGGTCATAGCTTAAATAATCACACCATCTAAATCTCATCTGAAGGAATGACTTAGCAGCCTGATTTGGAATGTATGAAATGTATGAAGTTCTTTGTGTCTACAGGGGGAAAAAAAAAATTGGTCACCTGTTTTTTTCCTCCAGTTCCTTCTAAAAATACGAGCACACCATCTGGACTTGGAGAAATGACACAGCAGTGTTTTGCCATATGCTGTCTACTAATGCACTGTTTCCCTTGGAGTCTCCATTCTTCCCCCACCAGTGGCAGCATAACCCAGGCAAGATTACTAACAGCTGTGGAGATTTTCAGCCCCATACTCAGGAATTGCCTAAGCAATACTTTCAGTCTTTGTATTTCCCTCCTAAGTATAGCTGGGATACAAGAATTTTTAAAGGATTCCTAGTTTTACAGAGATGATGGAGTAACAAAACAAAGAAAATAATTCAACAACAGCAGCTAAAAAAATGGTATGGATACCGCTGAAGGCAGGATAGATTGAAGTTTTACTTTATGTAGTCAGTTACTTTCAGAATCTTATCCCAAGGTACCCTTCTGATTTATTAACAGGGTGGCTTACATCTAAACCCCATAAGTCTACTGTATTTATTTAAAATAAGCAAGTAGTCAGGCAGTGACTATTCTTCTAAAACACAGGCTGCGAAGTCAAGATACTAGCTTGGGGACGTTTCTAGCTAGACACAGGAACGGGTATTTGTTGCGATTGACAGCAATAGCTTGACAGACACAGCTGAGTTCGACTAGCTCAGGTTTTTAAGGGATTCGAGGTTTAAAACAACCTCATTAACAGGAAAACCAGCGGCTACAAGATTACGGAGCTGGAAAAGATCAGCTTCACGCTCCGAGACGCCGAAGAGGGTGAGCAGGGAGCTCA